ATATCGTTTTCGGGTTCGTGGAATGAACAATTAAAGAATTAAATGTGAGTTTCCTTGTAAGACTTATCCCACATTGAAACTTTAAGTGAGCTTTTGTGAGTATATAAGCTCTAGGTATATAACCTTCGGTTGGGTCCCAAGGGACACCCCAAGTTTGTCGAAGGGAGGGGTTATGGACAAAGTGAATCTTGGCTCAAACCACCATACGCGCAGCCGCCCGTTGTGGGTTTTGGATAAAACTAGCAGATCTATTGCAGTTGGAAGCATAGCAGCATAGCAGTCAAGTGATTCAAAAAAAATTGATTTTCTTGCCTTCATTTTGCTCTCTTGCATTATTCTTCATATTATTTTTTAAGAAAAAATTCAGAGATATTAGAACACAGGCTTTTTGTTAGCCGTACAAATTTTTTTTTTGAATTTCTTGCCTTCATTTTGCTCTCTTGCATTATTCTTCATATTATTTTTTAGGGAAAAATTCAGAGATATTAGAACACAGGTTTTTTGTTAGCCGTACAAATTGTTTGGAGTGCTACTACAATTTGTGAAGATCATTGTATCTGCCTTTTATCCGTAAGCACCGTAGCGTGGCGAATCCGTCTTAAGGACAGAGTGTCACACACTCGACTTGATCTTTTAGTATCGGTAAAATAAATTCTGTAAGTAATTTATTTTTATTTATTTGATTTCTTTCAAGTTATTTATTTTACACAGAAGAAAAAAATTAGGGCAAATTACATATACACCCCTCGAAGTTTGGCTAAATTACAGATACCCCCTGAGGTTTCAGAAATTACATCCCGCCCCCTGAGGTTTGTATTTTCATAACAATTTGCCCCCTGAGGTTTATATTTCATAACAAATTACCCCCTAATTTCTTATGCAAATATAGCATTCAGGGGGGAATTCATAATTTCTCAAACCTCAGGGGGGGCATCTGTAATTTAGCCAAACCTCGAGGGGTGTATATGTAATTTGCCCAAAAAAGATGTTTTGTTTTTTGTGGCTATTTTAGCCAAAAAAGCCTGGCTTTTTTCTTCCCAAACGGATCCTAAGTAAATTTTTTATTTTTTTACGAAAAAAGGTATAGAAAAATAAAAACGTGATGTGATAAAAAAAAGATAAAAAAATAAAAAGATAAATTATTTTAGAATTATCAAACTTGGCATAAATCACCAAATCATTTTAATAACTAGCACACAAACGCATGCAAAACTTGTTGCGTAAGATAGTAAAATAAGCTATGGTTCAAAAGAAAAATGTTTGGGAGCACTAATTAGTGCTCCCAC